CGGCCGAAAAATCTACATTTTATGTATTGTTAGCGCAACTTTGTCAAGTTTTTATTTTTGGGAATAAGACAAAGTTTTTAAAACACTTTCGGAGTTTATATTTGACAAACCGGATGCCTAGGAAAATTTGTTCTTCCCCCGATAATGCGAAAGAACCGTAAAACCTAGAGATTTTGGGTTTTTAGGTCACCGGTCGACGCCCGCTGACGACAGCTACGTTTCATCGCAACTTGTCGTGATGAGGTTAGTCTGAAATTCCTACTATGCCCTTTCCCGTTTTAGGTAAAACCCCGGCGAACGACGGCAGCGGCGGCTCGAGCGGCGGCCATCGCCTGCGACTCCCCGGCGCCCCCCGCCGACTACACGATGGCGCATGTGAGGTAACGCGGGGCGGGATTTCGGAATCCGCCCCCGCCCTAGCTCTACGCGCTGACCACCGGGCGTAAAAGTTACGTTTTGAACCTAAAAATCCATTTTTACGGCAAAAAAATAGTTTTTGGAATGCGTAATCCCGAAAATAAGCTTCAAAAATATTTGTTTTCCCTAAAAAAGCAACTCTCACGGCCGGGGGGTAGTGTTTTCGGAATCAGCGCACAAAACTGGGCTAGAGAAGGCGCTTTAGGACTTTTTTTGAGCTTTTTAGAGAGCGGGAGACCCGGGGAAGAGGCGCAGACAGGGGCCGCCGCATGTTGTCCGCGCCCATTTAAAGCCTAAGTTCTAGATTTTAAACGTTTCAATTGGTTTTAAATGCTAAAACTAGTTTTTTACGAGATGGTATAGGCGTTTCCCAGGGGCCGCCGCGCAGAGCCAGTACGCGAGCGAGCGCGAGAGAGCGCGGCCCGGGGGGAGAGGCGCAGATAGGGGCCGCCGCGCCTGCTGACCGAGCGCTTTTAGGGTATCATCTAGGGCTTTAAACGTTTAAAACGATTTTAAATGCTAAATCTAGGTTTTTGCAAGTTGGGCTAGGCGTTTCCGAGACGGGGGGGGGGGGATTAGAGCGCGAGAGACGCCGACGGGGGCCGGCGCCGCGGGACTGCCTGCTGACCCAGCGCCTTTAAAGTGTATATTTTAGTTTTTAAGCATTTAAAATGTTTAAAATGCTAAAGCTAGTTTTTTGCAAGTTAGGCTAGGCGTTTTAGAGCCCACCGCGGAAAATTAGAGCACGAAGAGATTCAGACGGGGGCCGCCGCGCCCACTCGCCTGCCGACCGAGCGCCTTTAAAGTGTGTGTTCTAGGGTTTTAAACGTTTAAATCGATTTTAAATGCACAATCTAGCGTTTTACTTTCAGGACTAGGCATTTCGGAGACTTCCGCGAAAAACTAAAGCGCCGAGGGGACGCAGACAATCCGCCGCGCCCGCTCGTCTGCCGTCAGCGCCCGCTTTAAACCCAAGGTTCTAGTTTTTGAACGTTTAAAGCTGCTTTAAATGCTAATTCTAGGTTTTTACTAGCCGGAAACGGTGTTTTAGAGGGACGCAGGCAATCCGCCGCGCCCACTCGCCAGCTGACACCACCCCTTTAAAGCGGGAATTTTTAGGTTTAAAATGCTAAATTTAGGTAGGAAACTAAGGGGGAAAGGTCTTCCCAGCCTTAAACTAGCCCTACGCGAAAACTAGACCCCAAAAAATTATTTTAAACCCCAAAACTACCGTCCTCGACGCGCGGCTCCCCTCGAAATCGGGCCGTTGATGTTCAGCACCGGCGGCGGCGGGCCTAAAAAGTCGTTAGAAAGCGAATACCATTACCATTCATTCACTGGTTCACCGAATATTAGAGTATTAGCAAAATACGCGAATTTTCGCGGAAGGAAATGTGAAAATGCGGCCGGCCGGCCGGCGACGGGGTACGGTAGCCCGGAGCTTTTCGTAGTCGGGGGCGCGGAATAGCGGGCGCGCATTAATGGACACCGACGATCAAGAAGAGCTAGTGAAACCGAATCTAAAAAAAATCGAAAAATTTAAAAACATCTCAAAAATGGCCGGGTTTTGTGGGATTTTTCCAGCTATAGGGGGTAATTGGGTTCTTTTGCATTATCGGGGGAGGGCAACGTTTTTCTATCGTCCAGAAATGCCTTCTAGCTTATTAGAAAGTGTTTTAAGTGCGTTTTTAGTCCAACTTAACGATATTTTAGGTGGGAAATCGATGAAAACACGTTAGAAAAACGTTTCTAGCTGAGATTTTGGTCGAAAGTCGGCCATTTTTGCCCGAAAAATCGATACTTTTTGTCGTTTTGATCAAAATAACTTGAATTTGAGTAGAAAATCGATACAAAACATGTTAGAAAAACGTTTTAGGCGCGATTCTGGGCGAAAATCGACGCTTTTTCGTCCAAAATTCGATGGTTTTTGCCTTTTTGATCAAAATTCTAGTTTCCAGATTTCCAAAAATGCCTTCTAGCGTATTAGAAAGTGTTGTAAGTGTGTTTTTAGCAGAATTTAACGATACTTTAGGTGGAAAATCGATTAAAACACGTTGGAAAAGTGTTTTTCGTTGAGATATTGGCCGAAAGCCGGCGATTTTTTACTTAAAAGGCGATACTTTTTGTCCTTTTGATGAAAATTTGGATTTTTTTACGTTTATGAATAGTAAAAGCCAGTTTAGAAACGGTTTTCGTTCTTAAAACTACCTTCCGCTTCTCGTTTTCCATCTTTTCGCCCGTTTCGGGCACTTCTGAACCTGTTTTTGACCCATTTTTTTACGTTTTTTACAGGTTCCCCGCTGCTGCGGGCGACCACAGCTTCCGGCGGCTTCAAGATGCTGGCAAAAGTATTTATGATGAGTTTAAATCGTTTATTTCCAGGTCCCGCCAAGCCGCCGACGAATGTGCTAGGGAAGACGACAACGCCGTGATTTCGCATTCCCCGGGCGCCCAAAATTTTTTCTTAGGGCCTGGTTTTTCAAATATAAAGAGCAAAAGTGTTTCCAGACTGTTTTTTAGTATTTCTAAACGTGAAAACTTTACAAATCGGATCAAAAAGTGCAAAAAATATCGACTTTTCAACCGAAAATCGCTATTTTTGCCTAAAATTTCGAATTTCCGAAAGTTTTTAAAAAGGTTTTAGATAATTTTTCTTGTTGACAATAGTAATATTCAACGAAACACATTATTAAAAGTCTACCTATTAAGTTGCTAGGCATTTTAGAATTTTACAGCAAATTTCGTTCCAATTTTTGTCAAAAACGCCGATTTTTAGTAGGAAAATCGATACTTTTACACTTTTTGGTAAGATTTTCAGTTTTTAAGTTTAGGAATTGTAAAAAAACAGTCTGGAAAGACTTTTGCTATTCTTATTTTGAAAAATTAGGCCCTTAGAAAAATTTTTGCCTCCCGATAATGCGAAAGAACCTTCAAGGTACAAGGACGTCGTTGGGCAGCGAAAAACCCTCGATTTTTTGCGTTTTTGAACCGAAAATTAGCACATTTTCGGCGTTATTGGAATTAACACAATTGAAAAACGTTTTAATGGTTGTTTTTAGCAACGAAAAGTAGCTAAAATTCAATTTTTATAATTTTTAGCGCAAAAATTACAAAAACATACTTTTTATGATATCCTATGATAAAATATACTCTAATATACTTTCTAGGGGCGAAAGGATCGATTTCAGGCTTTCCAAAACGTTGAAACCGCGGTTTTTGTGCACTTTTTCGAGCTGTTCAAGCTTTTGGACCATTTTTAAAACTTTAAAACGTATTTTAGGTTGATCTACGCGTGTTTTGAGTTTCTACAGCTGACGAGCTGCTCGACACGTTCGAAACAGGCGTTTTTAAGGTTTTATTTTGAGTTTTTATCCTTTTTTACAGGCACGCGGACACCGAGCACTTCTACCGGCACGGCAACGATGGCAAGAAGGACGGCTTGCTGCAGATGGTGTTCATCTACTTCGCGCGTCTCTGCGGAATTTTGGGCCATCGGATTTAAAAGTAGTTTTTTTCCATCTTTTTCTTTTGCAGGGCCCTCGTGCTGATCGTGTTCATCGACGACCTCCTCAACGACGCCTAGCCGTTCACCAGTGCTGCTGCTCCGGCTTTCTGCAGGTTTTCAAGCCTGTTAATGATTTCTGGGTTCTTTCGCATTATCCGGGGGGGGGGGAGCAGATTTTTCTTAGTATTGAATTTTTGAAGCGTAAATTGCGTGTTTCTATCGATTTTTCGACCAAATTTCAATTTTTTTGAAACTTTTTAAAAGTTTCCACCGAATTTTTCCTGTTGAATTGGCTTTTTTTAAAATTGATAATTAAAATTAAAATATCGTTTTCGAGTTTTCGAAAATATTCAGATCGTAGTTTTTTTTGTTTTTCCACTTTTAGGCGCAATTTTTGTGCATTTTTTTTGTAGCTGTAGATGAACATCAAATCGTTTATTCCGCGGGGCCCGTTAACATTAAAAAAGGCGCCAATCACAAAAGGCAGGGGGGAGGCCAAAACGGGGGGGCCAAAAATTCATTGGCATTGATCGATTGGCGGCCGGCGGGGAGGAGGGGCGGTAGATGAACATGTCGACGAGGTGGGCGCGGGCGCGCTGGGCGTCTAGATGAACATCTGCAACGAAAAAATTAAAAGCTTGAAAATTCTGAAAATATTTTTTAGCACCAAAACTTTATTTTTTAGGCAAAAACGTCTACTTTGGCGGTTGTATTTTGTAGTCTGGCTGCCAGTTTAGCCATTCCAAACAAAATTTAGGGAAAATATTCAAAAAGCAAAAAATCAGCCGCGGCCGGGAGTCGCACCCGGGTCGTTGGCTTGGTAGCTTTTTTGTGGTTTATAGCCTTAAAAACAGGGTTGCAGTTTGTAGTCCGGGGGCCAGCTTAGCGACGCCAATTAAAATCTGGGCTTCCTGGGGCAAGAAAGTAGAAAGAAAATTCGAAAATTTCGATTTTCGGGCTTTTTGCGTCTTTCGATTACGCAATGGAAATCTGAGCCTAGCTAGGCCCAAAACAAGGGTTGTAGTTTGTAGTCTGGCTGCTAGTGTAGCCATTCCAATCAAAAACCACGTACCTTTCAGGTGAAGCTGGCCGACACGGTCTGCTTGTGGCTGGAGGCGGCGGCTGCCTCGGCGTCTCGCGGCGGTTTCGGGCCCTCGCTGCAACATTTTGTGATCCGAAATGGCCTCTGCTAGCATGCCATTGGGCTCACTGACTGTCGGGTTATCGATTAGCGCTTCCCAGATGCTCTCTGCTAGCTTACCCGGACTTTCGGGATCCAGTTACGCCATGAAATGTCGAAAAACGTGATTTTGGAATCGATTACGGTACCAAATTGCCTCTGCTAGTTCACCTAGCTGGTTGACAATTATCGATTCCCACTTCCCAAATGCTCTCTGCTAGCCTGCCCCCCCTGATAAGAGCCCAATTCCCATACCCCGAGTCCTTGCTGCGTCGGCCGGCCGAATTCGTCTGCGTCACCTCGACGTAGCAGCTGAAAAAAGGGGGGCGTGGCCACAGTTGGGTGTGGCTACCGGATCCAGTCGACAACGCCAATCGTGTCTGACTCTGCCCTGGGTGAGACAGATATAAACATCTGCTAACAATGTTTTCCCGGGGAAGAATGACCCGGGTCATGATGATTGCACTAATGGTAAGCAAAGAACTATCGGAATGATATTATAATATAAACTAAATTTATCCTAAATTTTATATTTAGTGACGCCTCGGAAGGAGCAGTAGTGCCAAATAAAATATTTCTAAAGTTGCTTTTCATCAACTTGACTCTCGAGAAGGGAGCGTAAATGTGTTTAGCCTCGCTTTTTCCAAAACGACCGCAATCACTAATATACATTATTTTTGTTTATACATACATAAAACATATTTCAAATTTACTAGGATGCGCAAGCTGCGTGCTACATTGTCCTAATCTAAAATATCGAGTTTGTAACTTGCATAAATTATGATAGTGGATAAAGCGATGGTAAAGATTTTATCCCAATATTAATTTTTTTTCCGGTTGAACATATAACCTTTTCGAATTTCTGGCAATAATACGAATTGGCGAATGTAATCCTAAAAACCCGGAACAGTACGCCTAGCTGTCAATATATGTATATCCAAGCCATTACACGATTAATGCTTCAGTATACAAAATTTAAAGTTCTGGCTAAAAAATTAATAATATCTTCATTAATTAGGATTATAGTTGCATTTTTTCGCTAGCGGCTCTGGCTTTAACAAACTGCGTAGGGTGGAAACTGCTGGTGCCGTTTAATAACTCTATTACAAGGTTTATAAAATAATGACGTATCCACTAGCTATTATTGTTTTTTAAGACGATTAAAAAAATCAAACGAGGCCATTGGTCTACTATTAATGCGATAAAATGTTTCCCCGCGCGCTTGCGAGTCAGAGCAGATGTCGTTATCACATCTGCCCTGCCGGGGGAGCGATAGACACGCAGAGTACGATTGGCGTTGTCAACGTCGTCCGTGGCTACCGTAACCCTTGAGAGGGACTGACCTCTTATTGGCTCTCGCCTCCATCATCTGCGTGTCGCCGATCCGCATCGACTCCTCCGCCTTTTTCGACATCTGCAATTTTTGAGGGTTTTTGTAGTCTGTAGCCCGGCTTTAAGGGTTGTATTTTGTAGCCTGCTTGCCAGATTAGGCATTCCAACCCAAAAAACAGGTTTATTTTCCAAAAGCAAAAAGTTGGTCCTGGCCGGGGGCCGAACCCGGGTCTTGGCCACGCAAGGATTAAAATTCTAGCTACAAACTACAAAAAGTTAGAGCCGTCCGAAAACAATCGAAAAAATAAATTTTTCCTAATTTCCTTGTAAATCCTATTGACGCTAGGCGTACTGTAGAAAAATTCTAAAAGATTTTTGCCTCAACTGGAGGCCACTTTAGCCATTCCCCTCAAAAAATCAGCTCAAAAATCAAAAGAAAATTAGCCGCGACGTAGCGTCGAACCCGGGTTGTTGGCCTCGCAATTTTTCTGTAGTCTGTAGCCTCCCGTTAAGAGTTGTATTTCGTCCGCTGACTGCCAGTTTATCGATTCGCGAGCCAACCTTTGCCGCTTCGCGGGTGTCGTGTTCGGGCGATGCGGCCGCGTCGCGTGCCCGTTTGCGGCTCTTGCTCGATGGAGGGGCCGCTGGGGGCGGAGGGGCCCCGGCCGGCGCATCCGCTTGTTTCTAAAACGTCAAGAAGTCCGCGAAATATCGACGCCTACCGTATCGGGGGATTTTTCCTTGTCCTTCTCCTTGGCTCCTGCTGCTCCTGCAGCTCCAGCTGGTGCTCCTCCTCCTCCTTTTGCCTTTCCCTGTCTTCCGCTGTGCCCCTGCCGTTTCCGTCGCGATCCGCCCTGACGGTCCTCTTTTTCTGCAAAAAAAGCGATTTTCGGGTTTGCCCACCCCCCTCCCCCGCTAAGAGTCCAGTACCACTTATCGGCTTCCCAGCCTTCCGGGTGCCTTTAACCTCCAGAAAATTCTTTAGAACGCTTACTGGCTAGCAGAGATTCTTTAGGAATCGTCTCCCCCGGGCCGAAACTCGGTTTTAAAGGCCCGCGCAAGGCAAACATTTTGCCCCTAGATTGTGGTCGCGAAACGCAACGCGCTGCCGTTTTCATTGCGTAATTGGTTGCCGCTGCGTTGCGTGTCGCGTCGCGTATTTCACGGCGTCACGGATTGGGTGATACCTCTTGAGTGCCCCGGTATTCTTGGCCAACGGGTTCTCCTCGTGCTCCGATTCGAGATCCGTCTTTGCCTCTTCCTCGTCCGCCTTGTTTAGGCCCCATTCTAAATGAAAATCGGTTAAACTGGCAGCCAGACTATAGGCTACAACCCCTGAAAGCCTTCTACAGTACCCCTAGACGTCAATTGCCCTGTTACGGAAAATCGGAAACGTGGATTTTTGGGAAATTTTCGAATTGTTGCGGAAGCAAGAAAAGAAAGTCTTTTGATCCAATTACGCGATGCCTGTACGGCGCACCCCTTTGCACTACGCCCTGTGTGCGCTCCCCACTCCCCCCGGGATAACCCTTTTTTTGTGCGTGTCTTTTTCATTCCTTCCACACCGCCCGTCGTGTCTCGCGGCTTGTATTATTTTAGGCTATTGCCGTTATCGTAAATAAACTTTGTTCTCTCTTCTTTCGTCCAAATCAATTCAGGTGTCAAACGACTCTCTCGCAAGGTATCCCCTTGGATTGAGCCAGCATTCAAGAACTCACGCACACCCACACCTACAACAATTGGCGATCAAGGATTCGAGCCCGAATTGAAGAATGGCCGACGACCCCGAGCTCAAGGACGTGCTCAAGCAGCTCGCCGCCGCGAACCAGCAGATGACCGCTGTCATGGTCGCCGGGCAAGAGCGAGAAGCCAAGCTCATGGCTGAGCTCGAGCGGATCCGCGCCGAGGTCCAAACGCACACGGACTCGGTTAGCGAAGATTCAAGCCAAAGCCAAAGGCCTCTGAATGCAGTCGAGTTGGGCGCTCTAGCCACTCGCATAAGTCGATTCGAGTATGACCCGTCCCAGGGGATTACGTTCGAAAAATGGCATGAGCGGTTCACAAACCTCATCGCCACCGAATCGCGCATCTCGGAGGAGAACAAAAAGCATCTTGTTCTCGGGATGTTGGATGCCAAATCCTATGGCTTGCTAGCGGATCATGCTCGACCCACCGAGCTGTCTTCGATCGCATACGACGACATCGTCAAGCATTTGACTGAGATGTTTGGAGAAAAGCTGTCGCTTTTCAGTCGACGATTCCTCGCCTTTCGCGTTGCGAAAGAGCACGATGAGGATATGCGATCCTACGCCGCTCGCGTCAACAAACTCTACGAGCAGGGTCGCGTCAAGGAAATGAAGGAAGATGAAGAAAAGTGTTTACTTTTCGTTGCTGGACTGTCTGACCAGGCACATCGCGACATCCGCAAGAAATTGATCCGTATTCTTGAGTCAAAGAATGACGTGAAACTGGATGATCTGCTGCGCGAGTGTGACTTGCAGACGAGCCTGAACATGGATGTTGTGGTCGAACAGCATGCCAATGTGAATCGTATCCAGCAGTCGGGATACCGAAAGACTTGGAACAAGGGCCCAAAGCCTACCTCTAGCAATGGTGGCCCAAAGCCTTGTGATACCAATGATCGGCCCCGTGGAGACAAGCGAAATGATGTGTGCCATCATTGTGGAAAGCGAGGACACTGGGCAAATGAGTGTCGCTCTGATTCTGGAAACCGTGGAGGTAGTTTTTCCAAGCAAGGAAAACAAAACCACCGAAACAAGGACTGGAAACCGAAGGTGAACCAGATTGTGCAGATCAATGCTATTGATTCAACGCGCAAGGACGTTGAAATTTCAATCGGAAACATCCATTTTACGCTGCAATTGGATACTGGCGCTGCAGTAACGATTATTGACGAGGCTGTGTGGCATCAATTGAATCGCCCACCACTTACGCCGTCGGATATTCAACTACGAGCTGCCAACGGTAGTCGAATTGACGTGAAAGGATTGTTTGAAACCCGCTTTCAAGTGAAAGGCATTGAGGGACATGGCCGTTGTTTTGTCACCAAAGACATTCGGTTGATGGGGCTTGATTGGATCAATCAGCTGCCACAATTCGCATCCTGTTTCGATGAATTGTGTGTCAATAAGGTTCAAGTGAAGCAATCAAAGCTGGAAAAGGAACTTGTTGAAAAATACCCAAGTGTATTTACGGATGGTCTAGGCTTATGCACTGTTGCTAAGGCTGAATTGCAGCTAAAAGCCGATGCACAGCCAATTTTTCTGCCATTCCGACGTGTCGCATTCTCGATGGAATCAGCCATTGAAAAGGAAATTGAACGTCTCGTTGATTTGACTGTTTTGAAACCAGTCACCTACAGCGAATGGGCGGCTCCGGTCGTTCCAGTCAAGAAGAAGGACGGTTCATTGCGACTTTGCGGTGATTTTTCTACCGGCTTGAATGATGCGTTGCAAGATTACCATCATCCTCTTCCCACAGCGGAAGAAATTTTCACCAAGCTGAACGGTGGACAAGTTTTCTCCCAGATTGACTTGAAGGATGCTTATTTACAAGTCGAGGTTGAGGCGTCTAGCCAAGAATACCTGACAATCAACACACACAAGGGACTTTATCAGTATCAACGACTGATATTTGGTGTGAAAACAGCCCCCGGTATTTTCCAGAAAATTGTGGATAATTTGATCGCAGGCTTGGACGGTACCGCTGCCTACCTGGATGATCTGTTGATCACCGGCCGAAACCAGGAGGAGCATGACGACAGGGTACGTCAATTGTTTGAGCGAATCGCAAAGTTCGGATTGCGCGTCAAAATGGAAAAGTGCACGTTCGGCCAGGCTTCGGTAAAGTATCTTGGCTTCATTCTCGATGCCCAAGGCCGAAGACCCGATGGCGAACGCACGGCTGCGATAGCAAATATGCCACGACCTACCTGCCTCAAAGAAGTTGAAAGCTTTTTGGGCATGGTTTCGTTCTACCAGTCTTTTATTCCTCGTATGCGGCAGTTGCGCGCCCCGCTTGACGAGTTGAAGAGAAAAGACGCAAAGTTTCTCTGGCGTGAGGACTGTGAACGAGCGTTCCAGTCGCTCAAGGAAATTGTAATTTCCGATTTGTTACTCTGTCACTATGACGCCAAGTTGCCGATCGTCGTCGCCGCTGATGCCAGTGAGCAAGGCCTTGGGGCAGTCATTACCCACCGATTCGCTGATGGAACTGAAAAAGCAATCGCACATGCTAGCAGAGCATTGACTGTGGCAGAAAAGAACTATAGCCAGATTGAAAAAGAAGGCTTAGCCCTCGTATTCGCAATTCGGCGCTTCCACAGATACATCTACGGAAGGCGTTTTGTATTACTGACGGATCATAAGCCCCTTTTACCGATATACGGGTCGAAAAAAGGAATCCCACAACACACCGCAAACCGTTTGCAAAGGTGGTGTTTGCAATTGAACAACTACGATTTTTCTATTGAATATCGTAACACGACCAAGTTTGGTCAAGCGGATGCCCTTTCCCGTCTGATTCCGCCAAAATCGGATCCCTGAAGAAGATGTCGTGATTTCGCAGATAGAAATCGACATTTCGGCCGTTTTTGAGGATAAATTGAGCCAAATTCCAGTTTCACACAAGGAAATTGCTGAGCAAACTGAACAGGATTATTCACTCAGCAGCGTGATTGACTCTCTGAAAAGTGGTTCTTTTCCAGACTGTTTGCCAGGCTCGTCGCTGTACGCCTACAAAAGTCTTGTAAATAAGTTGTCAATTCACCGAGGCTGTTTGTTTCTGAAAGAGCGAGTTGTTGTGCCGAAAAGGCTGCAATCGCGAATCCTAAAAATGCTTCATGAAGGCCACCCGGGCCAAACGAGAATGAAATTGCTCGCAAAGCAATATGTGTACTGGATTGGCATGGATTCAGACATCGATCGCATCGTGAAAGAATGCGAAGGCTGTCAGAAAGCCCAGAAGATGCCTGTAAAAAGTGAATTGACTCCCTGGCCTACCCCCAAATCGTCCAATGGAGCGCGTGCACATTGATTATGCCGGTCCGATTGATCAAAAAATGTATTTGATCGTTGTCGACGCTTACTCAAGATGGCCTGAAATCTTTGAGTGTAAGGTGGCAACAAGCCGAGTGACGATTGCCCAGTTGAGAGATGTTTTCTCCAGGTTCGGAGATCCGGAAACGCTCGTTTCGGATAACGGAACTCAATTCACTTCGAAGGAGTTTGAAGATTTCTGTAAGGAACGTGGAATTACCCATATTCGCACGCCGCCGTTCCATCCCCAGTCGAACGGATTGGCCGAACGTTTCGTCGATACCTTCAAGCGCGCTTTGAGCAAAGCCGCTGGTTCGACTAACGCTGAAACTTTGCAAATTTTTCTGCGAACTTATCGGTCCACCCCTTGCCCATCTTCACCAGAACAGCTATCTCCGGCTGAAAGGTTTATCGGGAGAAAGCTTGTTACTCCCATTGCTCGCTTGCGTCTGCCCCAGAGCAACAGCAATTCTTGTGCGAATCTCATCTTTCCGAAGGGGGAGAAGATGAAGATGGTTGAACAGTACAACCGGAAGCACGGCGCAAAGAAGCGTTCCTACGAAATCGACCAGACCGTCTGGGTTCGAGATTATAAAATACCTAGCAAACCTGTCTGGGTAGAAGGACGTATTTCTAAATTATGTGGAAAGTCCATGTACGAGGTTGAAATTACCTCTGGAGTCGTTTGGCGTCGACATGCCAACCAGATACGCGCTCGATTCGTTCGAGACGTACTCGATGATATCCTGGAAGAGTTCGATCTTGCCAGCGATGATAAAGTCAATGTGCAGGACACTGCTCCACCTCTTGACAAGCCTCTCGAGAAGTCAGCCGCATCATCCGCCAAAACTCCTACATTGATTCCCATTGCACCTGTTCCGAATGTTCCCCATCCCACTGCTCACCGGCCGACAACACCAACCAAGTCGCCATCGAAGTCGCATCCACGATCACCGGCAAGATCACCAGCCGTGCCGCGACGACCTCAAATTGACCAGCCCGATATCGTTGCTCAACAACCGCAATTTGAACAACTCGATGACGTTGTTCAACAACCACAAGGACGCGACGACGAACCTGAAGTTCGTCAACAAGATCAAGCACAACCTGTGAAGAAGACAAAGAAGACTGATGCTCTTGGACCGATCCTTCACCACAAGCGCATCCGGAAGCCGCCGTCGCGATATCAAGATTGAAGTGCCGTCAACGTCGTCTCCATCAAGCTCAACTTCATCACCGAGTCAAGCTCTTCATTCAAGGAGGAAGATGTTGCGGAAGCAAGAAAAGAAAGTCTTTTGATCCAATTACGCGATGCCTGTACGGCGCACCCCTTTGCACTACGCCCTGTGTGCGCTCCCCACTCCCCCCCGGGATAACCCTTTTTTTGTGCGTGTCTTTTTCATTCCTTCCACACCGCCCGTCGTGTCTCGCGGCTTGTATTATTTTAGGCTATTGCCGTTATCGTAAATAAACTTTGTTCTCTCTTCTTTCGTCCAAATCAATTCAGGTGTCAAACGACTCTCTCGCAAGGTATCCCCTTGGATTGAGCCAGCATTCAAGAACTCACGCACACCCACACCTACAACAGTCTAACTATTCGTAGTTTATAGCTAGAATTCAATTCGTCTGGGAATAGCCAAACTGATATCTAGACTCCCGACTACAAACTCTATTTTGAGGCTACGGACTACCCAAAAATTGCTCTGCGCGAGGTTCGGGTTCGAATCCCCGCCCGAATACTTCTTGTTTTTTTTTTAATTTTCAGCCCAAATTTTAGTGGGACTCCCTAAGCTGGCATGCAGGCTGCAAACTGCATCCCTTACCAAGAGGTTATAGACTACAAAAAATTTTTCTGAACGGATTTTTCGGCGATTTTCATGGCGTAATCGAATATCCGGACCTTCGGCGAGATTGTGGTCGTTCTTCTTCTTTCCCTTCCCTCCTCCTCCTGCTCCAGCTGGTGCTCCCTCCTCTTTCGTCTCATCCTTGTCCGTCTCCTTCTCCTTTTCGGCGTCTCCAGAGGGTTGTTGCTGTACATCTTCACCTCCTGCTCCCTTCTCCTTCTCCTTCTCTCCTCCTTTTTTCTGGCTTTTCTGGCTCATCTGGCTCTTCTCCTTCACCTTCGGCTTCTCGGGGGTCTTCGCGGCCGGCCCCGCAGCCGCTACATCCTGCAAAAAAAATTGAAAACTACGATCCAAAGTTTCAAAAATAGAAAATTCCGTTTTGCCATTTTTTTACATTTTTGTAGTCTGTAGTAACTCGCAAACCGTTGTAGCCTGTAATCTGCTAGCCAGTTTCGCCTTTCCCATCAAATTTAGACTTAAGATCCAAAAAGCAAAAAGCAAAAGGCCGCGGCCGGGGTCGAACCCGGGTCGTTGGCTTGGTAGCTTTTTTTGTAGTTTGTAGCCCAATTCTAAACTTTGTAGTTCGTAGTCTACCGGCCAGTTTATCCATTCCAGACGAGAAAACTTCGCAAAATCCAAAAAGCAAAAAGTTGACTGCGCCGGGGGTCCGAACCCGGGTCGTTCGCCTGGGGCCTTTTCTGTAGTCTGTAGCGCCAAGAAAATAGTTGTAGTCTGTAATCTGGCTGCCAGTTCACCCATCCCAATAAAGAAATTAAAAAAGCAAAAAGTTTGCCACGGCGGGGAGGCGAACCCGGGCCTCTCACCTTATAATCTAATCGCTTGCCCACTCGGCCAAGGTGAATTTTCCAATTTTTACCTGACTGCTGGGTTCCTTTTTCGGGTTTTTGTTGGTGGTAGGTGTGGATGGTTGGGAGGCGGAGGCGCCGCGTTTCGTCGGCGTCGCGGCCGGCGGTTTGTGCTCGGAGCGCGCGGCGGCTGCGACGGCCGTCTTCTTCGCGCAACCTGAAAGCGGGGGCATCCTAGCAGATACCGTTGGTGAATTTCAGGAGTCCCGCGAAAAATTCATGAAAATCGAATTTTCTGGGAAAGCGCATTTTTAAATTAATTATTTTTGTATTTTTAATCTTTTCCAATTTTGAATGCAGGGCAGACTAGCAGAGAGCGTTTGAGAAATAAAAGAAAATGCCGTAAAAATTTTATATATTAAGCTTAAAAAAATGAATTTTCTGAATTTTTCGATTTTTTTGCAATTAAAACATTAAATGTATCCAAATTGTTGTAAAATCATTGAAAAACCCACCAAAAAATGCGTAGAATGCTGTAATAATGGAAAAGAAGGAGAAGTAGACGGAGAAGGGGGGCAAAAGATGGAGTAACTCAGGCATTGTGGCGCATCAAACAATCGATTGGACAGACGAGGGGAGAGAGGAAGCGAGTACGATAAATACGAAATACACCCCCGTACGCTAATTATTCCCTATTTCAATCGATTACGCAATGCAAATTGACCGGAAGTCCGATTTTCCGGTAAATTGAAAAATTAAAAATTCAAATTTTCCAAAAATGCCAATTTTTGCCATTAAAAGTCAATTTCAAGTTTTCTGCCTGCAATTTGCTAAATTTTTAAATTCATCCGATTAGGCCATGAAAATGGACCAGAACTCCTAATGAATTCGTAAAAAAATGTAATTTTTCGCAAGCTGTCCAAATTTTGTCTTCAACGGACCTTTAAACCACTAGAATGTCGATTTAAAGGGGCCGGCAAGTCATTCAATGGATTACGCGACGAAAATCAGCCGGATTTCCGATCTTCTAAAAAAGGCGGAAAATTCAAAAGATGCTAAGAAATCGGAATTTCCCAAAAAAATAGTTTTGAAAATAGCGGTTGAGCCCAGCTAGAAACTCGATCGATTACGCGATAAAATTAGCAGGAAATCGGGTTTCCCTAAAAAATTCCGTGTTTCCAAAAAATTAGCTTTTTCAAAATTCGAGCCGAAAAAGCGAAAAAATATTTTTGAAAAATTGAATTCGCACAAAATTAAAATTTTGTGATATTTGATGCCCTCTTCAAACCCAATCGATTACGCGATAAAAATCACTAGCTCTCGCTCCTTCAATGCCCCTTTAAAGTGCGTTATTTCGGCCATTGGAAATGGTTAAGAAATCGAAAAATGCCGAGAAATAGAGTCGAAAAATTTATCACCAATATTTGCCAGGGAAAGACGGGGGTAGTAAGTATCACAGGGGTACTGTAGAAAAGGGCAACAAAGAACAATACAAAAAACAGCAATATACGGGGGTACGGTAGCTAGTGACTAGTTTAAAAAACTGGGGAAAATCAGAGAGAAATATAAATCTATTCGATTACGCCATGAAAAGAGATCGATCCAATAACGCAACGAAATTCCGGGCTATTCGATTACGGCAGGAAAATAGGCCGATTCTATTACGCAACGAAAATCGGGTAAATTCGATTGCGCCATGAAAAGAGATCGATTCGATTACGGCAGGAAAATATGCGAAAACCCCAAAAAATACATAAAACTCGAAAAATCAATTTTTTTTTTGCCATTTTCTAGTCGTCGTCGAGCTGGGCGTTGCGCTCGCGTCGCGGCTGCTTGACCACCTTCTCCAGGTACAGCTCCTTGAACGCCTGAAAACATCAGATTAAAAAATGCAAAATTCAAAAAGCGGCTGGCTGGCTAAACGGTAAGGCGTTTGGCTGCCAGGCGGAGGGTCCGGGTTCGACTCCCCGCCGAGGTAAAATGTTTGCTTTTTGGATTTTTAGCTCGGAAATGGCTAAACTGGGAGATAGACTACAAACTACACACCCTAGATCCAGACTACAGACTACAGAAATCCTAGGTGAATGACCCGGGTAGGAATAGAATGACCCTTTAAAATCGAATTTTGCGCGTTTTAAAGGGCCCTTGAAGACAAAAATAAGTAGGCGGGGCTGGGGATTCTGACTTGCCGATCCCTCAAAAATCGAATTTTTAGGCGTTTAGAGGGCCATTGAAGGCAAAAAAGTGGGCGGGCCATGGATTTTGACTTGCAGGTCCCTTTAAAATCAAATTTCCCCTTTTAGAGGGCCATTCAAGCCAAAAAACGCCATGGAATCCATTTTTAGATCTTAAAGGACCATTGAAGACAGAAAAAGTGGGCGGGGCTACGGGTTTTGCCTGATCATACCCTTTAAAATCGAATTTTTGGCATTTTAAAGGGCCATTTAAGGCAAAAAATCGAGACAGCTATGGATTTTGACTTCCCGGGCGCTTTAAAACCGAATTTTTAGCTTTTAAAGGCCCATTGCAGGCAAAACCGTACCCAATAATAGGCGGCGACGCTTCCGTGTGGATAGGGATTGTTGGCGGGCTGTTTCTTGTTCCGTTTGTCGCCTTGTTTATTCGCCCGATACGCCTCCTCCTTGACATATTTGGCCCAGTCGAGTACGCGAAGTTCCGGGTATTCCCTGCTGTTCCTGAAAAAAAAAAAAACATTTTTTTAGGAAAGGAAAAGTTCAATTTTTCGAAAATTTTTGTATTTTCGGCATGTTTCGACAAATTTAATGGCGAAATTTTAATTTCATTAAAAATGGATACTGTAGCCGATCAATAAATGCCGTTATTTTGATCGAAAACTAGAATTCCGAAATTTCATTTCAACGAATTTTCTATTTTACGAAAATTATTGATTTTTGGCAGTTTTCGAAAAACCTCTCAATTTGAAATTTCGACATTGTTAATTTTCGACAAACGCTTTATTTCGTCTGGTAGCAGAACAGGAAATATGTTTATTAAGATGTTGCCGAAAAGCCGTTTCACAAATTTTTCTATTTTGCGAAAATTAGACTTTTTTCGGAATTTGTTTTTCGACATTTTAATTTTAGTGAAAAAAATAAATATCTATAATCAATATTACCGATGGGCCCAGTCGCGGAGTTTGTCGTTGAACACCTCGAAGACGCGGACGGCGTGGCGAGCCTGCAAAAACAGGCGATACATTGCGTAATCAATTCCCAAAAATTCGGGCACGCTAGCAGAGAAAATTTGAGGAATTGCGTCTCATGGAATATGGTAGCGTAATCGATTAAGCGCCAGTTTATCCTATTTTTATAGCGTAATCGATTCTGAAAAAGGGGCAGGCTAGCAGAGAAAATTTGAGGAATTGGAGACCATGGAATTTCATCGCCTAATCGATTTGGCGTGCAAAATTCAGCGTAATCGATTACGGGCGTCCCGATTTTCATAGCGTAATCGATTCCTCAAACGCGATTTTCTGATTTTCATATCCTAATCAAATAAACCTCACCTCGGGAATAGTGGTGAAGAAGAAGCGCAACTGGTCCCTCTGCACGCGCATTCGATGGCCCTCCCGCTCGGCTCGGTCGAGCTGCTCGAGCAGTTCGCTGCGGAGGGCTAGGCACATTCTGAAAAAATCAAAATAAGAAAGAAAACCACAGACTACAAACTTTGTGAGCTCCTCAAATGGTTCCTGTCTCTTCTCGGATGGCCGTTTATTCGCCTCCCAATTGTAGCCGTCCAGGTCGAACACCGTCGCTGGGTCTAAAAATTTAAATAATGAAAATCGGTGCTTTTGCATTATCGGGGGGGGGGGGCTTTTCCGATAATTCTAAAAATGCCTAGCATGTGAAAACAAGAATTTTAATAATTTAAAATGGCAAAAATCTCGATAAAACTTTCAAAAAATTTAGAAATTCGAATTTTGGAGTTTTTAGTCGAAATTTCCAGGTTTTGTAAGGAAAAATGCGAAAAACCGTGTAGGACCCCCCTGATAATGCCAAAGCTCTATAAAAACCAAATAATAACAAAAAAAAACTGACTGAAGACAAAGACGACGGCCGACGGAACGTGAGGGTGGTATTTGGCGTTGGCCTTGCGGTAGCCGTCCAGGAGGAGCCTGCAAAAAAAAGCGTCAATAAAAACAACTCAGCTAATCGCTTACCACACAAAAATGGACTGGAATTAGACCACTTTAACTAACCGGTTACGCCATATAAATCACCCCTTTAATCGATCGGTATGGCAAAAACTACCCGGCTAATCGATTACGACACAAAAAACGCAGTGAAAATGGTGTAATTAAACTGATTACGCGATTAAAATCCACTTTATTCGATTCGCTACGAAATGCCGGACGCCAAATCGATTACGCCATAAAAATCCTACCTAAATATCCGATTACGCCACAAAAATCCCCACTTTTAAGCTTGCGCAACGAAATACAACGAAAAACGTGCGGAAAATTGAGGAATTTATTGGATTACGACATGAAAAGCGACCTAAATATCCGATTACGCCAGGAAAATCGCCCTTTTAATCGATTACGCCATAAAATCAATTAAAAAACGCACTGAAAATCGCCGGGTCCCCTGACCGTGTTGACGACGGTGGCAAGCGTGTCATCATTCCAGAAATGAAGGGTCTGATGATCCGTGATGATGGCCGTACGGCGGATGTTACATCTTCTCGTGCCACGCCAACCATCAACCAGGATCTTGCGCTGCTCCTGAAAACAAGGTAGCTAGACTGCAGAATACAAAAAATTTCCGGGCGACTAAAAACAACAAAAAAAAGTAAAAAAATCGTTGTAATCAAAAAATCTCGACGTCCAAAACCCTGGCTAAATGGTAAAGTGCCCGCTTGTCAGGCGCACGACCCGGGTTCGACCCCGGCCGCGGCAAATTTTTTGCTTTTCGATTTTCTAGCGGGGTTTTTTTTGGTGGAAAATCTAACCTCATCGGTGACGTGGCCGGCGTCAACCTTGTCGAGCCGTTCGAACGACCACGCCTCCGTCGCGAACTCCTCCGCCAGGGCGGCTGGGTGCCTGAAAAAAAGAAGTAAATTTTTTATAAAAAGAGGAGAGAGAGAAAAAGCGCTAGAGAGAGAACGAGAGAGAGACAGAGAGAGAGAGAGAGAGAGAGAGAGATGGCTAGAGAGAGAGAGAGAGCGAGAGAGAAAGAGAGAGAGACAGCGAGAGAGCGAGAGAGAGCAACATAAATAAATTTCAAAATTTACCATGGTTGCGTGGGTTGAGCCCTGGAGATGTGGGCGGCCGAGGCGTAGCTGACCGGGACCCTCATCAGGGTCTTCGAGTCGCCCGCCTGAATACGAGACTATTTTCAAAATTTCAACAAAGACGATAAATAAATTAAATCAAATAATTTAAATCCAAATTAATCATCAGATAAATTAAAAAAGAGAAAAACCTAAAAAACAGCAAAAATCCTTACAAATTTGTAGACTTTTCTTTCGGGCACCGAGGGTCCTCCATGCGCGTCGCCAATGGCCTTCCGGTCCTTGTCGCCGCCCTTCCGGCGCATGTCGCCGAACATTCTGCAACAAAAAATTCGGATTTGAAAAGCAGCAAAAATTAATTTCAGCAATTTTGAGCCCTTCGCGATGTGGTCGAGTGGTTAGTGGCGGCGGCTGCCAATCTGACGACCCGGGTTCGACTACCGGCCGCGGCAAACTTTTTGCTTTTTTAATTTTTCTCTATTTTTCTATGAAAATGGCTAAACTGGCAGCCAGACTACAAACTACAAGCTCGAGAAATAGGCTACAAACTATATAAAAATCAAAATAAAATTTTGTAAAATTTCTAAAAAATTAGAAAAAGTCAGGCTTAAAATTATCAAATTTTAAAAAATTAAAAATTAAATTTAGTATAAAAAGCGTACTCTCTCATTTGGATGCCGAAAATCCTGGCGTAGTAGGTGTGGCCGGTATCTTGGAGTAGTGATAGCTGATCCCGATCATCCCCATAGACGAGACTGCCGCTGTCGAAGCCGAATCGAGGGGTGTACAGCCTGAAAAACGCGGGTATTAAAATCGGAAAATTTCCAAAATCGAAAAACGCGCTGCGCTGCGCAGCGCGGTCGAAAATTTTAGAATTTAGCGAACCGCGACGCAAACGCGGAGCGCCAAAATCCCCGCTTCGCGCCAAAATTCGAACAGTCGCAGATACAGAAAATTTGTTATAACGAGAGTTTTCCTAAAATTCGCTCCTATTGACGCCACGCAGCCGCGACGCGCCACAAAACCAGACCCCCGCTGCCCGCAATGCCCTCAAAATGAGCTTGAGCGGAACGCAATGCAGCTGCGATTCCTCCAAAAATTTTTGCAGCTACCAGCTCGCAGCGCAGCCGCGACGACGCTAGAATTCCGGTTAGCAGCGGCCCGCTACGCAACCGCGATGTCCGGCTATAGCAGATCGCCGAGCCGCCAAAATGAGCTAGTTTTTGACGCAACGCAGCGGGGACCGCGGAAAATTCTGGTTTTTCCTGCCGCAGCGTGCCTTGACGCAACCGCCAATCGAAAATTCGCGCTGCGCAGCTAAGCTCTAAATCCCTGTTCGCAACACGGTAAATTTTGGGCTCAACGTCTTCCGCAACGCGACGACCGCGACGCGCCAGAAAATTTCGCCTCGACGCGCGGAATTCGCGCTACCTCGTGGCGCCACGCGTAAAGCAACCGCGACGCGCTGAAAACCGCCGCTCCGCGACGCAACGCAGCCGCGACGCGTGACTTCGAAAACTCAAAAATTAGCTGAAAAACGTACTTGACCCGATAGCGCTCGTCGTCGCCGAAGGTGACGCGCCACTTGTCGCGCTCCGCGTGCAGGAGTTGCCGGATTTCGGGGGAGGCCCGGCCGCGCCGCGAGAAGTGCTGAAAAACGTTTTATAGGGTTTCTCGAGTTTTTCTGACAAAAAACAAAACCCTTTTTGTTCGGAAAACACGCAATTTAAATTTTCAAAAATTACAAAATCATTGCGGACCACAAAAATTTATTTAAACTCTCTAAAAGAAAGGGAAAAAATTAAAGCTTAAATTTAGAATTAAAAATTTTAGATTTAAAACGGGCTAAAATCGAACAATCCAATTTTTGTTCGGATTTTTAAGTGCGGGCAAGCTAGCAGACCAATTTAGCAAAAAAAACACATAGCTTCTGAATTTCAAACGAAAATAAAGAAATCTCGACTTTTTTTTGAGAATTCCGGAAATTTGTTAGGGCGTCGGCAAGCTAGGAGAGACCATTTAAAAACTCCTCACATCAGCCGTCAAGTATCCATTGAGGGGCGTGCGGCGCGGGGGGCGTCGGCGCGGGTTCCACGAGGGTCCGGCGCGCAGCGCAGCGGCCGCTTCTTTGACGCGTTTCTAAAAAAATAGAAATTTGAAAAAAATAAAAATGACAAATACCGGCTGTTTCGGCTGCTTCTCCATCTTCTTCTTCTTTCTGCCCTCTCCAATCTCGTGCTTGATGTCCGGCTTGATGTCGATGGGCGGGCCGGGAGGGGACGGCGCCTCGAACTGCTCGACCGGCTCGGCCTTGACGGTGATGATGGTAGATGAGGCGGCCAAGGCAACAGGGACCGGCTAAAAATGGGGCATAATCAAACATAAAAAAATTCAATTTACCGTGGTATCGACGTCGACCGGCTCGGACTTGACGGCGATGATGGGCGAGGCGGAGGGCGGGTGCTGCTGCTCCGCGGCCACGACGATGGCAGCAGGGTCAGGACGGGGCTAGAAATGGAAAATAATCCATTTTTTACAAGCTAGAATTTAAATTTTAAAAATCGCTTGAAAAGCTCCAAAACCTTAAAAAGTTCGTCGTAAAAAGGTCGAAAATAAATTTCTACAAAAACTAATTTCAAAATATGATTAAAAAATAAGATTTTATCGCTTAAAAATACAAATTTAATTATTCAAATAACAATTTCTAGATGTATAAAAATACCGATTTCTCTAGCGTGACCTCCTTGGTGACGGTGACGGCCGCCGGGGAGCTGGACGGCTGCTGCTCGACCACGGCGACGACGGCAGCAGGTTCGGGCTAAAAAGGAATAAAAGAATTTCAAACGAATTTTCTAAGAAATTACCGATTTGGCGGGGGTGACCTGCTTGGCGACGCCGAAGGCGGTACGGCCGGGATATCCGTGTACATCGAGGCCATCCTCGTGCTCCTCCGCCTCATCCTCCTCATCCGAATAGCCAACGAGGGCCGACGGGTCGCTGAAAACGGAAATCTTATAACGATTTAAAATTTAAAAACTCGATAATAATTAAAAAGGACTTAAAACATTTTTAGAAAATTTTAAATCAAATTCGGTTCACAAAAATAAAAATTCAATCGGCGATTTTTGACCGAAATCTCGCGGTTTTTAAATACTTTTGAAAGTTTTTAGCCAATTTGTCGAGATGAATATAGCCTGATTTTAATAAAAACACTAATAAAATAAAAAAAACAGCTACCCCCCCCCCCCGATAACGCGAAAGTACCAAAAATAGAAGCAATCGTCGAGCCATTCGTTTTCCCACAACTTGAAATAAGCGTTCAAAAATTTTTTGAAAATTCGAGAAAAATAAAATAAAATAAATTAAATTAAATCAATAAATAAATTTTCTGAAAGCGAAATGGCAGTTTTCGAGAAAAATACAATTTTAAAAAAGAGCTTTAAGGTTTTTGAAAGCTTCAAAAAGACGCACTAATCATCCTCCTCGGTCCTTAGCGGGCTCGACCTCCCCGAGCATGTTCCCTGACTTCTGCTCATCCATTCTTCGGCCTGTTCCACGGTGCAGCCCAGCTCGGCGCTCAGATCCTGGATGCGCATCCGGTGCGTGCAGTCGGTGATCTGAAAAAAATCGAAAAAATCGAGCCGCAAAATCGCTAAATACCCATTGAACTGCTAGAACTTGTTCCTCATCTTCCGCGCCATCATCGTCGGCGGGCAGTTCGATGCGGGGAGCGCTAAAAAACGGATTTAAGCCCAAAAAATTAAAAATTAGCCAATTGAAATTAAAATATTTAAAAACCAAAAAAAATTTTAAAAAAAGCATAAAAATCGCTAAATTAATTTTTCTGGCTAATAAAAATTAAATAGCAAATTAAATACGGTAAAACTGATGATTTTCAAAGCTAAAAAAATAGAGTTTTGAAAAAGCCTTCATTTTCTAAAAATTCAAATTATTAATATTTTTAGAAAAACGAATTTTTAGCTAACAAAAACTTCAAAAAAATTCAACACAAAAATCTCGGTACCTGGCCAAATACCGCTGGGCGAAGCGATCGTTTTGCCGACGGGCGGCGGCGAATCGATGGGCGGCCAGCTCGCGGGCGACCAGGCCGCAGTCTTCGTCTAAAAAAAACACGTTTTTAAATTTTAACATTAACCCAAAGAATTCAACTTTAGAGTTTTTAAACTTTTGTAATTTAAAAAATTAAAAAAATTAATTTTCAAAAATTTGAATTTGAAAAGCTTAAAAATCGCATTTTCCAAAAAAAAGCACAATTTATAAAATTTGAATCAAACGTTTTTAATTTAAAAAGCGTATTTTAAATGCAATTTTTCAAAACGTTATTTTTACAAACCTTCGAAAGCAATTTTCAAATTTTGAATTAAACGTTTTTAATGCCAAAACTGACCGGAAAAGTTGACCTGCTCGGCGATGATGAACTTGGCCATGTTCCAGATGCAGCCGCTCAGATCGTGCCTAAATTTAGAATTTTTTTTTTTGAAAAAGAGGCGGGCAGCTAGCAGAGTTTTTTGCGGAAATTTGGACCCCGGAGGAGGGCAGGCTAGCAGAGATTTTTGCGGAAATCCCGGCGCCGCTGAGGCAAGCTAGCCGAGATTCTTTGAGCAATTTGGAGCTTTACAAAATTTTAAAATAAATTTTCCCTCACCATATGCTGTGCTGCTCGACGTCGGGGGCGAGTTCGGCGGCGCGTTTTCGGAGGAACGGCGCGACGTTGTGCGTGAAGCGGACTGGAAAAAAAATAAATTAAAACAATTATTATCGATTTTTACATTAAATTATTAAAAATTCAAGTTAAAAATAAATTTTAAAAACCAAAATTAAGTTTAAAAATCAAAATTATGTTTTAAAAATCAAAATAGAATTTAAAGTTATTTTTTAATGAAAAAATTACCATCTTCAAAGCCGGCCATCCACTTGTCGATTTCGTCACTGGCCTCCGGGTCGTCGAGCTTGGCGATGAGCGCCTGCTGGCCGTCCTTGTCGAGCTGCAGCCGAACGGCTCGAACAGCCTCTTGCAGCGTGGGCCCTGCAAAAGGGAAATTCATTAAATACGTGATTCGCTCACTTTTCTTGGCCTTCTTGGTGTCGGGCGGGCGGTAGAGGCACTGCGAGGCGTCCGTCCACCTCGGTCGCTCCTCCTCGGGCAGCTCGTCTACCTGAAATTGGGATTATAGCCCACGAAACCAGCGAAAAAAATGCTGATTTTTCAGACTGCCTATTTCGGGCAGCTCCTGCATTATCGGGGGGGCGAATTTTCCTACACGCCGAAAATGCCGATAGCATTTTTTTCGATTTTCAAAGATAATCGTCGAAAACCTTTCATTTCTTAAAATTTGCCACTTCACCTAACTTATAAAACGTCATAAAATCCCGTAGAATTGACTTACACCTTAAAGGCTTAATTTTATACCCAAAAAAGACGAAAAGTGCAGGTTTTGGCCCAAAAATGCCTGAAAAATCGTCAAAAACTTCAATTTATCGATTTCCCGGAAGTTTTAATGTTTTTTTAATGATCGGAAACTACCAAAAATGTTATAAAAATGATCTACATTCTGCTTCAAAGCCAGGCAACCTTTTAAACCCAAACTTAAAGCCCAGGAGGCTCAAAAGAGCAGCGTTTGGCCCAAAAATGCCTGAAAAATCGTCAAAAACATCTAATATTTGAAATTATCTACTTTTTCTAACTAATACAATTTATTTCAAGCATCAAACAGACGTGTTTTATCTTCTAAACCCCCGCAAAAAGCTATTTTTGGTCCAAAACGGCTTGAAAAATGATCACGAAAGTTCAATTTTCTGGAATTTGTACTTTTTCTAACTTACACAGCGTTATATAAATACCGTATAATTTATATAGGGGAAAAAGACTTTATTTTACATTCTGAAAACATAAAAAAGCACCTCGATGGCATCGGCCTCGGCGGCGATGGCCGCAAAGAGGGCCATCGGGTCGTCCTCGTCGACCTTGATGTTGTTGTCCATCTTGTTTGCACCTGAAAATCAAATTATATCATTGGTTTTTGCAATTTTTAGCATTATAAAAAAGAAAAAGCATCGAAAAACTTCAGATTTCAAAAAAAACTTGGCAAACGAGAGGGCGGGATTTAGGTGGCGTAAGCGAATGTTGGCCGGGCGAAAAGAAAGTGAAAATCACGCCCAAGGTGCCAAAAATCGCCGAAATTAGCTAAGAAAAGTGGCTTTTGAGCACTAAAAGCAGGGCAAGCTAGCAGAGAGCATTTTGGAAAGTCATCGGCGCGTTCAGAGGTTTAAAATACTTCAAAATAGCTCGACGAGTCTAGAAAAAGTAAAAAAATGGCCAAAAGTAGCTCAGAAAACGGGCTACTAGAGCTTTAAAAGCACGGCAAGCTAGCAGAGGAGATTCTGGAATCGCGATGCGTACTTTCAAAGGTCCAAAAGTCTAAAAATGGCTTTACGATAGCCTAAAACTTTGAAAAACGCTAAAATTAGCTAAAACCCTGGTTTTTAAAATCCGGGCAAGCCAGCAGAGAGCATCTGGGAAAAGTCATCGGCGTTTTCAGAAGCTAAACCAAACCTAAAAGTAGCTTTCCGAGAGTGTAAAATGTCGAGAAAAAGCTCAAAGCCGCCCAAAAAAGCTTTTTCAAGCTTAGAAAACGCTGGCAACTCGCGGTGAAAGTTTCGGAGACGTGATCGTCACTTTCAGAAGCTAAACTAAGCCTAGAGATTGATCGCCATAGCTTTCCGAAGTTAAAAAAAGCGAAAAAAATCGTCGATCTAGGCTAAAAGTTTGCCTGTACAGCTCCAAAAGCAGGGCAATTTAGCGGAGAGCATTCTGGAAACGCGATTAGGACTTTCAGCGGTTCAAAAACTCTAAAAATAGATTTTCTAGCCATAAAAGGGAGGAAAACCCGTAGCAGAGGCAATTTTTCTCAGAGCTCGCAAAAAATCCCAGGAAAGTTTGCAAAGACAAAATTATCGGTGAAACGCTAAGAGCCGAAGAAAAATAGATTTTCTAATCTAAAAAGCATCAAAACACCGTTTTTAGCCTAACAACCAGGGCAAGCCAGCAAAGACCATTTGCGGAATCGCACTGAAAATTGAAGAATTGGAGAGAGGAACGCTAAATGCTAAAAATACCGATTTTCCAACAAAAAATTCTAGAAAAACTAAAAACTAGCTTTTCTGTCCGAAAAAACAGGGCAAGCCAGCAATCAACATTTGCGGAATCGCACTGCAAAATCAGCAAGGCGGAAAACTTCAAATTCTGTTCCCAAAAAAAACGATTTCTCGAGTGAAAAAAAATCGTCAAAAAAAGCCTAAAAAGTGGTTTTTGACCAAGTTAGGACGTTTTCAAGTCAAGGAAAACTAGCAGAGAGCATTTGCTGAAGCTAAAACGTTCGGAAAAACACTAGAAGTCGGAAAAAAAGGATTTTATTACCTCAAAAAGCAAAAAAACACGTTCTCTAACCTCAAAAACAGCGTTTTAGCCTACAAAAAGGGGCCATCCAGCAAAGACCATTAGCGGAATCGCACTGCAAAATGAGCAGAATTTTTCGGATAGAATTTTTTCCCAAAAAACGATTTATCCGCGGAGAACAGGGCCCGAACAAAAAAAGAAATACGAATACATATACAGCGGGTGCGAGAGAGCGAAAAGGGAAGAAAAGGGCTATATTACCCTCCCAAAAAAAAGGGATTGCAAAATATTGCAGCAAAAAAAGATACAGGCGATAAAAGGGCGAGGGCAATCAGGAACACACATATATTTATGATGATATTTTTATTATTCTTGTAGCAGCAGATCGCGGTCCGTCTTTTTCGGGGCCGGGGAGGGATGGCCTGAAAAAAAAGACAATTTTTAGTATTTTTTAGATCATTTAAAAGCCTAAGCCTAAAATCCCTGTAAAAAGAACAAAAATGACTCTAAACTCTAAAATCTTTACAAAAATCAAAGAAATATCTATAAAAATAAAAAGTATCTATAAAGATTCTAAAAATCCTTTCAAAAGCGAAAAATTCTTCTAAACTCTCAAATTCCTAGAAAAGGGACAAAGAAGCCTATAAAACGCTACGAAACTAAAATCCCTAAAAATCCACTAAAAAATTCGAGACTCCCGAAAAAGCCATCTAAAAAACTCCTTAACATTCCTCTAAAACTTTAAATAGCCATCTGAACTCCCCAAAAACAGATGTAAAATTAAAATAAAACAAAATAAAATTCCTCAAAATAAAATTAAAAAACGTATCAAAAATGACTGTTTGACTAAAATGGACTGTTTTCACCCATTTTACCGTACCCATCTCGCGGCGGTAGACGGCCTGGTCGCGCAGCACCGTCATCGAGGCGATGAAGAACAGCAGCACCTGCAAAAAGTGGTTACGAGATCAAATTAGCGAAAATACCGATAGAATACAGAACGCATTGGGGATGTAGAAAGCGGTGCGCAGCGAGACGAATCGACTCCACGGCGACGTCTGCGCGCCGCGGAAACGGTCCGACAGCTGAAAAAAAGCATTTTGAACCTCGAAAAACGTTAAAAAACCGAAAACCCCGTTAAATTGCGTACCATTCCAATGAGATACGGGCCGGCGGCATCGCCGAAAAGATGCGAGATGAGGATCTGCCAGGCGATCGACGAGTTGCGCCTGAAAACAATATTCCAAAATTCGAGAAAAAAACAGACCGCCAGGGGACGACGACGCTCATCAACAAATCGACGTTGATCGACCAGTTGAAGGAGAGACCCGTGATCGTGATGAACATCAGTGCCTAAAAACAAAATATACCAATTTTTAAAAACTTAAAAATTGGGGAGAGAGAGCGAGAGAGAGGGCAGGGAGAGAGAGACAGAGAGAGAGAGAAAGCGAAAAAAGCCAAAAACCCACATAGCTCTCCGTCTCCGAGTGCCCGATGACGTGCATGGCGATGAACAGGGCCGGGGTGCCGATCAGGGCTCCGATCGCACAAATGATCGGGCATGCGCGCTCCGTTTTGAAGAAGCGGAAGCACAGCTGGCCCTGCCGCAGCATCTAGAAAATTCAGCGCTAAAAACTGAAACCACTTTCACCTCAGCCAGAAGGGCACCAATGCAGACGCCGGCAATCCCTCCGGCAATCGTCACGGTGCCGAATTTCAGGTTGATGCTGAAAAAAATAGGAAATTGCTTCAAAAATCTAGAAATTGCCAACATATCGACAAGCCACTGTTGGTATTTTTGTCGGCCTTCCGGCTTAAATACAGAAAAAGCGTACTCCAATTTGTACTCATCCGACAGCAGATCCGTCGAGTTGAGCCCGAGCTCGTGCGCCTTCGCGTGGCTCATCGCCGTCGGCACCCACCTGGAAAAACACGATTTTTTTTTAAACGCAACCAGGGTTGAAAAGCCGCTTCGCGACTTTTCAACCCTGGCCCCGTCTGATCCGATGATATTCTTCACTTTGCATAATTCTCACAATTTCCGATGACTAAAAATGAGAAACGCTACCTCTCTTGCCTTATATAGGCTACCGCAACTTCGGGCGTATGCTAATTGTTAGCTAACAAAGAGGGTGGCCTATTTTTCAACAAAAAACATAATTTTAACGTCGAAAACTGCTCATTTTCGACAATTTTATTGGTGTGCAGTCATCCCCAGAAAATTACGCTCCTAATGGCGCATCAAACATGCTTTTAACTACTCCCCTTATTGAGATACTACTGGAACAACCTGACGGAAGTTGCATGCAAAGTGGCACGGACACACACACAGACACTATTTTTTTATATATAGTAGGATTTTTACGAATTTTTCACGAAAAAAGGCACTAAACCCACCACGACAGCGTGCCGGTGACGAACACAAGTGCCGTGTAGCCGAACGTCGAGAAGATGTAGGTCGGGCTGAAATTGGAAGCGTAAAAAACCGCTAGATCAGTGAGAAAAGCCCGAGAAGAAGCTGGGATTTCCGGAAAAGCGGAAACGGATCCGGGGTAATCCGGTGAGCCGGAAAAGAAGCGCATTTCCATTTTTTCGGCTAACCGCTTTCTGGGTAGAAAAAAAAAAAACAGTTTTTTTGGCGAAAAAGAAGCCGAATTCCGTCTTTCCGGAACGGCTTTCCGGATCTAACAAAAATGTGTTTTTTTAGCTAAAATCAAGATCAATTTCCGTTTTTCCGGAACACATTTCCAGGTGTGATGAAAAATAGCTTTTCTTACACCAAAAGAGGCCGATTCCGTTTTCCTGGAAAGGCTCACCGGATCCGGAAACCCATGTTTCGGCTTCTTCCCACTCTTTTCCTCGCTCCAAAACCCTCACTTTTTCATGAGCATCCTCAAATCGTGGAGGTAGTCGAGCATCTGGTTGCCCATCGGCTCTTTCGGCGCATCCGGGTCCTTCGGCAGCAGCGTTTCGCCCTAAAAATCATGTAAAAAGTTTTTGGAACCAATTTACCGGCTCGGCGGATCCGCGCTCGGGCTCGTAGACGAACAGGCACGTCAGCACGATGCAGAAAGCCCCTAAAAATGGAATTTTCTAAAAAAAAGGAAATTCTTACCAAAAGCCGGCGTCAACCGCATGCCCCACTCCCAGCTGCCGAAGGTGGCGCTCAACTGCGAGCCGATCACGTAGCCGATACCGCTGGAAAAGGAGATTTTGTACGTTTTATCGCTTCTGAAACCTCACTATAAAATGAAAAATCACCTTTTCGATTTTTTTTAGTTTTTGGCCTAAAATTTTCATAAAAATACCTTTTTAAAATTAGCAATTCAAGTTATCGATTAGGGGAAAATACTGGCGCTTCATCTAATAAAATTTAGCACTTTTACAGCTTTTTCTAAAAACTTGGAAACTGGGATTTTCGAGACAACCTCAATTTTCGATTTTTTGGCCTAAAATTATTTTTTAATTTGCTTTTTTCTGTTTTAAAACTAGCTATTTAAACTCGGCAGTTTCGTAGGAAAAATCTGCGATTTTTTTGGCCTAAATTCCTCTTCCATTTCCTTTTTTCCGGTTTAAACACTGGCTGCTCAGTTTTAGTAGCTTTATCAGAAAAATCTGCCGCTTTTTATTGCGTTTTTGAGCTCGAAATCTGCATAAAAAGACTAAAAATTAAAAAAAATTGGGTTTAGACCTCGAAAAACGCTATAAAAACTCAATTTATACCTGCCGACGGGGATGGCAAAATAGTAGAGCATCAACATCTGGGAGCGCCGCTTGCCGCTGTAGAGATCGCCGATGAGTGAGGGGGAGACGACGGCGTACGAGGCTTCGCCCACTCCGACGATCCCTCGCATCAACAGGAACAGCCAGAATTTCTGAAAAAAATAGTTTCTTTAGCTTTAAAAAATCAGGCAAAAACAGGATCTTTTGCATTATCGGGGGGGGGGGGCAAATTATTCTCAAATCTTAAAATTCACACTATTTAGAGCGAAAACCATCTAAAACTTCGAAATTTTGACGAAAATTGGCCATTTTTGAGCAAAAAAAATCGGTCTTTTTTGGAATGCAAAATTTTAATTGTGCTTTTAGCAAAATTTAGCGATATTTCATGTCAAAACTTTTCAAAAACCCTAAAAAATTTGAAAAAAGCGGAATTTGGTCGAAAAATCGGCATTTTTGAAGGGAAAATCGAGATTTTTTGTTTTTACCATTTAGTTAGCGTTATTTTAATCCCCCGGCATAACGCAAAAGCTCCAAAATACGTAGAAAACGCTCACATCAGCCGGGACGAACGTCGACGCGAAGACGGCGAGCACCCACACGAAAATCCCGACGACCATGATCCACTTCCGGTTGTAGCTGAAAGGAGAAGCATGAGAAAGCTTGAAAAATCCCACCGATCGCCCAAAAACCCGCAAACGGGGCTGAACAGCATGAAGAAGATGATGAACACCGTCTGCAGCAAGCCGCCCATGTCGTTGTCGATGTTGTAGTACTGCTGGATATCGGTGAGCACGCCTGTAAAAACGCCAAATATCTTTTTTTAAGTACAACGCCTCGCTGCGCAGTTTTATTGAGAAGAAAAGCCTAAAAAGTCCAAAATGCGTTTCTCAGTTACTCAAAATAGCTTTTTCCAACGAGTGCACAGCTCTTGGAAAAGGGAAATACGTAGTTTTCAACGTTTTCGCATTCTTACATGCCTAAACGGCTCGAAAACGCGCCGAAAGTGCCGTTTTTAACGTTTAAAAGAATCTGGAAGCTTTAACAATTCGAAAACTAGGCAAAAATGCTGTTTTTGGTAACCTTTTCAAGGCTCTGGAAGTTTTAGCAGCATGAAAAATACGCAAAAATGCTGTTTTTAGAAGTCCGAAAGCGTTAACAGCTTGAAAATACGTAAAAAAGCCCGTTTTGAACGCTTCGAAGAATCTGGGAGCTCTAACAATCGAAAAGACGCACCAAATCTTGCAAAAAGCTCGTTTTTAAAGTTGTAGAACAGCCAAACAACATAAAAAGATCGAAAACGCGCTTGAAAAAGTCGTTTTCAGGCTCTTCAAAGCTCGCCACGCGCTGTTTTTGACGTACAAACGTATTCTCGAAGCTTATAACAGCTCGAAAAGCGTTCAAAACTTTTTAAAAACGTTTTGTAGAGCTCTTACATCCAGAAAATCGTGCAAAAAAGAACGTTTTTAAGTTTTGAAAGCCCTAGCGTTTTCAAGGCTTGAAAACCTCCATAAAACCAACCAGCAATGGTGAACCGATCGGCGTAGTTGAGCAGGTTGATGACGAACAGGATGAGGACGACGGTGAACTTGCGCCACGCCGGCGGGGGCGGCGGCGGATTCGGGCTGTACATCATTAAGCCTGAAAGAAGATTTTGAAGTTGGTAAAAGAATATTTATAAAAGCGTAGCAGAAGAAAAGCGTCAACCGGCAAAAAGCAAAGCGAAAAGTAGACGTAACAAGGCTCAAACTTAGTAGCAAAACGAGTTCAAAAGATCAGCAACAAATAAAAGAAGATCTAAAAGCTCAAATAAAAAGTAAAAGTTTTTTACAAAGCTAACTAAACTTATCGAATAAAGAAAAGAAATCCGTTTCTGCCGCTGCAAGAAAAAAAAGCAAAAACTCTACTAAGTCTACGCTCCAATACACTGTACAAAATCGTGTGGCTAGTAGCGCTTCGTACACCAGGAAATGGACTTGATTTTTCCAAAAAAAAGTGTGTTTGCCGGCTTTTCCCTCGCTTTTCGGGCCTGATATAACGTTTCTAGGGGTAATCGAGCCCGTTCTTTCCTCTGCCACCATTCATTTTGTAAATTACAGCCGTTTCAGCAAGCTGGCGCCGAAAATCTAGCCAAAATCGGGCACAACACGTGAAAAAGCCATGCAAAAACGTAAGCAATCGTTTAAATCGTAGTTCAATCGCGCAAAAAAAAACGAGAAAAACCCAGAAACGGCATCCGAAGATCGCAATTTCCAGATTTGGGGGTGAACGATCCGCTACTCCGCACAAGATTTCGCGGATAGTAGCGCTTCGTACACTGAGAAATCGAGGAAATCGGCTCAAAATTGAGCGAAAAACGTGAAAAATCGTCTCAAAAATCTGTAAAAAACAACACAACAAAATCGTGAAAATAATGGAGTAAGGCTTTATCGTCATTCTCGGCACTCTGGCGATGCCAGTAATATTAAGGTAATTCTTGTCGTTTCCTTCAGCGGCGGGGGTTTAATGCATGTCGACGGTGGGGAACAGGTGGAAGATGCAGTCGTCGGCGTATCTGGAAGGAAACGAGCAGGGATTATTGGGGAAAAGGTACGCACCGCAGCCGCAACGCCTGCTCGAGCCGTCGGGCATGTTTCGAGTCGCGCGTCTCGGCCACCACCTTCGTGCGGACGGTGAACACGTCCGAACGGGTCCACGAGCGCTCCTGAATTTTTGGTTTTTAGCGGAAAGGCTAAACTGGCAGCCGGGCTACGACATGCAACTACAGTACGCGCACCTGTCAATAGGAATCTAGCGGAAAATCCGGAACGAATTTTTGTGAGTAGTTCAAATTCGTCTAGCTTTATGTGTCTTGTAGCTAGAAACCTAATTCTTTCGGGAATCGCCAAACTGTCAGCCAGACTACAGACTCCACCCACCAGAAAGATGTCCTTGATCGATCCACCCTCCTTGGCGACGAGTTCGGTGAGTTCGGCGATGCCCCACGGCCGATCGGAGACGCTCACCTTGAAGCGGACCAGGCGGTTGTCCCACGCCATGCCTGGAATTGTGGTTAGCAAAGATTCTTTGAGGATTGGAGTGCGAGGGGTAGGCTAGCAGAGACAATTTGGGGAACCCACCCCTCTCCATGACGCGTCCCAGTTGGGTGGTGTCAATATTTCCACCGCTGAGCACGACGACCACCTTCTTGCCCTTGTACTTGTCGAGGCGGCCGGACAGGAGGGCGCCCACGCCGCATGCACCCGCGCCCTCCACAACGATCTGAATTTTCAGCGCGTAATCGTTAGAAACGTCGATTTTCGAGGAATTTCATGACGCAATCGGTGCCAGAAAGGCGGGCAGGCTAGCGGAGACCATTTAGGAAGTGGGAATCGATAAACTGGCAGCCAGTATATCTATTGGCAAGCTAGCAGAGGCAATTGGAGCTTTTGAGGGCATGCTAGCAGTGACAATTTACAAAAAACCGCCTCTGGCTGACCTTCTCCATCTCGACGAGCCGCAAAATGGCGAGCCCGATCGTCTTCTCATCTACCACGATGGACTCGTCGATTTTGCCTGCAAAAACACGCAAATTTTCACGCTTTTTGCCCCAAAAAGTCTCAAAATTCCGATTTTTCAAATAATTTTCACGATTTTAGCCAGAAATATGCCAAATTTAGCAAAAAAAGAAAAGATTTTTTTATAAAAGAAAGCCGCGACGCGGTTTTTAAAGCACTTTCAAGCATTTCAAGCTCTTCAAGCCGCACCGAGCGCGGTGGCGAACGCGTTGAAGCCGATGAGTGGGACGGCGAGACCATCGGCAAGGGTCGGCATCACCGGGGTGCGAATTGGCTGGCCGGCTTCCAGGGAATTCTGAAAGCCCAAGAATTCCTCAAATTCCTCTGCTAGCCTGCCTTGAATGAGGGACAGCTGTCGGCCTCGATGGAGATGACATCAACTTGTGGGCGGAGATTCTTGATCGCCGTCGCCACACCGGCAATCATCCCACCACCGCCCACGCTGGCCAGCACCGCCGAGACGTCCGGCACCTGAATGGGAACAATTCCCCAAGGACTTTCGCTTGTTGTCTGCCATCCAGTTCAGGTTTTAATGGCACGTTTTAGCAGAAATGGTCAATTTTTGAGACAAAAAAAAATTTTTGAACACCGAATTTCGCCAAAATGATAAAATACCATTTTTAAACTAACTAAAGCCTAAAGAATCCCTGCTCGTTACCTGCTAGCCAGTTAGCGTTTTTAAAGCATTTTGAGCAAAAATAGCCAATTTTCAAAGCAAAAAATCTTTTTTCAGGCTAGAAAAACATTGAAACGCCGAAATTTAGACCTTTTCAAATTCCTAAATAACCTCTGCCGGTTGCCTGTTAGCCAGTTAGCGTTTTAATGGCATTTTTAGCGAACGAGCTCTCTATTTCAAGCTAAAACATATTTTAAAAGTGAGAAAACCAAAAAATCGAGGTTTTTCAAGATTCCTAAAGAACTTCGGCTAGTTACCTAAAGTGTTACCTGATCCAAAATTTCGAGCCCAACAGTGCCAGCCCCAGCAATGACATGTTCATGATCATATCCGTTGATGTACTTGCCGCCGGCCTCGAGGCTTTGCGTCAGGGCCACGTGGCGACTCTCCGAAATGTCTTTGCCCTGAAAAAACGAGATTCCGGATGTCATTTTAGCGGCTGACCTTGACGATGATGTTGCCGCCGAGCTGCTGGCACTGGGCAATCTTCTTGATCGGCGCGTGTCGGGGCATTACTACCTGAAAATCAAAACTTAACTATTAAGAGGAAAAACTGCATGCAAAATTTTTGTCAAAAACTTATGTATCTCGGCCTACTGTTCATCTACAGGTGTGTAAAGTATACCAAAATGTTCGTCTTGGTCTGGCGAACATTTTGGTATACATTACAGCTCTTTAGCACAAGGAGGAGCCGTTTTACAAAAGCCCGGGTGGCCTGCCAAAAGTCAAAACTGAACGTACCGTGATTGGGATGCCGAGTTTGTTGCCGTGGATGCACAGGGCTTGCGCGTGGTTGCCGGCCGAGGCGGCGTACACCTAAAAAGAGAATAAAAAGCAGAAAAACGCAACTGACCCCCTTCTTCTTCTCGTCGGCCGTCAAATTCATGAGGGCCCACCGGGCGCCGCGCTCCTTGAAGCTGCCCGTCGTCTGAAAAACGTCAAATTTTATTATTTTACGCCATTTGACGCTGAACTGACATCCAGGCTACAAAATACAAACACCAAATCATACCTGAGTCTGCTCCATCTTGAGATAGACCTCGATTCCCGTGGCGTGGGAGAGGGCGCGCGAGTACCGGCACAGCGTCTTCTCCACCGCGCCCTGAACTTCAGGCATAAAAAAAAGTTTCGCCCAGAAAAAAGCTCGGATTTTTCGAGAAATATCATTGCTATATTTAGGCATTAACAGCTTTATCAATTAGAAAAACGGACCCTAATGCCATAAGCGGCCTCGGTGATCTGGCTCATCCCAACGACAATCGGCTTCGCAGGATCGCAGCATGGGTCGATCAGCTCGGCCGGGAACTGGAAAAAAAACATATTTTAACGATTTGAAACTATTTGAAAATTCGAAGAAAGGTAAAATCGTTGATTCACTAACGGTTCGACTCATTTAGAAAGGGTGTTGCCTTTTTTAAAGCCAAGATCTATAGAAAAACATGAAAAAAACGACAAAATCACTCAAATTCGGGGTTTATAAAAATTATAAAACACTCTAGAAGTTGAAAAATTAGCTTATTAGTCAAATTACCTGCCAGTTAGCAGTTTTATAATGTTTTTACACTTTTAGAAACACAAAAATTCCGTAAAAACACGCTAAAATAGACAAAATTCGTGATTCTCCGGTTTTTCCAAAGCTAAAACCGCTTCAAAAATTCTCAAATAAGCTAAAACCTCACTTGCTGGTTGCGTTTAAGCGTGGTGGTCGACAGAAAGCGATTAAAGTTGTCTGGAAAATGCGAAAAATCGATTTGTATCGCAGAAACTTGATACTTTTTGTTAAGCGAGCGAGTAGCATCGAGAGGAGAAGCGGAAAACGAGTAGAAACAAGATTAGTAATGCCCAATTTTCGGGTTCAAAACTTTTTTAGGACTTCTAAATATGCAAAGAAAAAGATGCAAAACTTTTCATATCCTTTTCATGGCGTAATCGAATGTTTTTGTCATGGGTGCCCTCAAAGCCTTACTACTCCTCTAGCCCGGGCACCCATGGCTGACCCGTAAAGCCTTGTCCCAATGACAGTTTACCATATGGAGCGGCCGCCGCAACGCATTGCGCTGGCGCGTCCGCGCTCATGTTTATGCAAATTACTCTTGCGACGGATCACGAAACCCATCACGTGCTCCTAATAAAGATGTTGAGGCAGACCGTCCGCTAGCTATAAATGCACGGCATATGCATTTACTACTACATTTTGAAGCCAAAATTTGCATTTTTTTGCAGCGGAAATGACTTCCGGTCCAAGATTCGATAGTGTTCATGCTCAAAATGGCGCTCATTTTACCCAGCGATGCCTCGCCTGCAGTTGCCCAAGGAAGGTAAATCAGTTTTCCGCAAGAATCTCTGTTAGCCTCTGGCTCTAATCGATTACGCATGGAAATTAGGCCTTTCTCGCTGTCCGGCCCCTTTAAAATCCGCAAATTGCCTCTGCTAGCTTGCCATTTTGTGAACTGGCTGCCAGTTTGGCCATTCGCACTTCCTAAATTGCCTCTGCTAGCCTGCCCGGCCTTCCAGAAGCGATTACGCTAGGAATTTCTGGAAAAATTGCCGAAATTAGCGGTTTTTAATCGATTACGCGATCAAATTCTCTCTGCTAGCTTGCCAATCGTTGAACTGGCAGCCACTTTATCGATTCTCGCTTCCTAAATAATCTTTGCTAGGCTGCCAATCGCCGGACGAGCTGCCGACGAATCGTTGCAGCGGCGGTCTGCCGTCGACGCAGCGGCTGGTGCGTCGCGTCCTGCGTCACGAGTTTCGCCATATGGAGAAGGTAGCTGCTCAGAAATTCCAAATAATCCCTGCTCGTTTGCCCAGGTGCTCGACGGCCTCGGCACCCCCGGCAACAAGATTCGCGTCGAGGAGACGGCCGGCAATCTCAGCTGCATGGGTCGGTTTCGATATCCGCGAATTTTCTCTGCTACCACGCCCCATAGAAATTTTTCCAAGCTCGAATCCGGTCACCTGCCTGCCAATTTACCCATTCGACATATCACCTCTTCAGAATTGCTGGTCTACGAGGGCGAGCTGGGCCCGGATCGTGATCTGGTGCTCGGCCCCGCCAAGGCGTCCGCCTACTCGCCCACCACGCGGTGCACCCTCAACTCTAGGGTGGGTATGGCGCTGGGAATGGCTAAACTGGCGGCCAGGCTACGAAATGCAACCACCGTACGCCGATCCGTAGATAGCAAAGTAGCGGAAAATCGTAGAAATTGGATTTTCGCTACCTTTTCACTTTTTCGCTTCGAACTTTTTGTAGCTTGTAGCTAGCGCTCTAATCTTTTTGGGAATCGCTCACTGGCAGCGGGACCACGAAATGCAACTATCGTACCCCATTCCGTATATAGGAAAGAAGCGGAAAATTGGAAAAATGTTTTTTTTTTTGTGCCGAATTTTCGGGCTGGTCCAACTTTTTGTAGTTTGTAGCCAGGGCTTAAATTGTTGTGGGAATCACTAAACTGACACCCAGACAAGCGATTCGGTTTCCGAAATCGCCTCTGCTAACCCGCCCTCCTTGCAGACGCCGGCCTCGTCGCTCTCGACGCCTCCGACGCGCAGCCTTATGCCTTCCCCTCTCGGCGGGAAGGCGAAGAAGAAGAAGAAGAAGGGCGGCTCGACGCGTTCCTCGAATTCAACGTCTACCAAGTCGTCAAAGTCGACGCCCACCCCGCGCTCGTTGATGTCCACCCCGCCGTCTTCGCAGGTAGGTTTTGGGCTAGTTGTTCGCGTTCTGTAGTCTGTAGCCTGGAGCCTTGTCATTGTAGTTTGTAGTCTGGGTATCAGTTTAGCGATTCCAATAAAGATAGGCCCCAAATTCCAAAAGCAAAAAGTTTTGCCGCGGCCGGGGGTCGAACCCAGAGACTCGACTAGTAGCGTTGTTGTAGTCTGTAGCTTGTTGTAATGTTTGGAGTTTGTAGGTTGGATGTCACTTTAGCTAATCCAATCAAAACAAAACAAAAATTTCAAAAAGCAAAAAGTTCGGCGCCGCCGGGGGTCGAACCCGCGTACTTAGCCAAGTAGCTGTTTTGTAGTTTGTAGCCTGGATTTAGGAATTGTATTCTGTAGCCTGCCAGGCAATTAAGCCATTACAAAAACAAGTGAAGCGCCAAGTCTAAACCGGACAAAAATTTCGCTCCAGATGTCGCTGATGTCGGCCACGCAGAAGATGTCGCTGGCGGAGGAGACGAACAACAACACCAACATGGACAGCAGCAGCAGCAGCACCGCGTCGACCACGAGCAGCAACAACACCACCAACAACAGCAACAACAAGCCCAAGTCGAAGCGGTACGCACGGAATTTTTTGGTTTTCTTTCATGACCCCTTCAAAATGGATTTTCGCATGCGGCAAGCTAGCAGTGATCATTTGGGAAATTCCAAAATGGTCTATGCTAGCCAGTTTGACTTGAGAGGGCCTTTAAAATGGGATCGATACTTTTTAAAGGACCATTGAAGGCAAAAAACGTCATGCATTGAGCCTTTTTTGCCATTTTAAAGGGATAGTGACAAGATTGAGATTGTTAGACCACGCCCCTTTTCCAGCGCCACTGCGAAAAGCCCGAAAAACCCGAAGACGAACAAGAAAGCGGCGGCCCCCGTCGACGTCGAGGCGACGCAAGAAGATGGCGGCACCGAGGAGAAGGAGAAGGAAAAGGAGAAGAGGTGCGGAGGGCAGGCTAGCAGGGACCATTTGAGGATCGGACTGCGTGACCTGGCTGCCAGTTTAGCGCTTCCCGAAAGAATTTGAGTTCTAGCTACAAACTACGAAAAATAGAGCATTTATCGATCGATTGGATCTGCAAATCATGATTTTGGCACTTTTCAGAATTGCACCTATTGACGCCAGGGGTACTGTAGCTGGGGTTTTGCGGTTGTATTCTGTAGTCTGACTGCCAGTTTAGCCATTCCCACCTTAAAAGGCGAGGTTTTACGTTTTAAAGGGGCTTTAAAGGGAGGGTGACACTAGCCGAGCCTAGGAAGGGGCAGGCTAGCATGGATTCTTGAGGAAACGACCAAAAATTTTTCGAAATTTTCCTCATTTGTAGCCTGAAGTCGGAGACGTCGATCCCGGTGGTGCCCGACGACCCGGAGAAGGAGTACGTGCCCCCGTTGCCCCCCGTCGAGACGATCCCCCAGAAGCCGCCCGGCTCGTCGCACGAGGTCCGCCATGTGGGTGCTTTTTACTCTAATGGCTACAGTGGCATCCAGTTCGCCCAAAAATCACATTTTAACCATCTACAGTACCCCATGACGGCAAGAGGAACGTTTCGGAAACTGCCAATGTTCGGAAAAGTTTCGCAACCGTATAATTTTTTGTAGTTTCTAGCTAGAACTCTGATTTTCTCGGGACTTGCTAACCTGTCAAGAAGTCTACAAGCTCCAATCGCTAGATCCAGGCTATAAACTACAAAAATCCTACCAGGTTAACTATCCGGGTTCGAATCCCGGCGGCGCCAAAATTTTTTGCTTTTTGAATTTGTGTAAATTTTGTCGATTAGAATAGCTAAGCTGCCAATCAGACTACAAAATACAGGCCAGAAAACAAGACTACAGACTATAGAAGTCTTCACAGGCTACCTAACCGAGTTCGAATCCCGGCGGCGCCAAAATTTTTTGTTTTTTTTTGCCTTTTTGCGATTTTTACATTTTTTCCATTTTCAGTCGATCGAGCGGAAGAAGCACAAGCGCGGCGTGCGGGTGAACATTGACGTGAGCCGCCGTTGGTTCGCCAACCCCGACGACAAGGCGTTCAAGGGACTCCACATGGTCATCGACTGCCCCAATTATGAGCCGACGGTGCGTGGGGGAGGTTGTAGTTTGTAGCCTGGCTGCCAGTTTAGCCATTTGAATCGAAAAATCTACTTAAAATTCAAAAAGCAAAAAGTTGGGCGCGGCGGGAGTCGAACCCGGGTCGTTCGCCTGGTAGGATTCCTGTAGTTTGTAGATTGCATCTAAAAGTAAGAGCTTGTAGTCTGGCCAGTTTAGGTATTCCAATAGAAAAATTAGCTTAAATTTCAAAAAGCAAAAAGTTGGACGCGGCCGCGGTTCGAGCCTGTATAGTCAGGCCAGTAGCTTTTTTATAGTCTGTAGCCTCTAGTTAGAGCTTGTACTATGTACAGGGTGTCCCAAAAAAAACGAACCATCTGGCATTTCGCCGTGTTACATCCAATCGGTCCCAAATTTGGACCAGAGGTGTATCAGACCCTAAATAACAACAATCCTGAATTATAGCTCTGTAGCTACAGTAGTTCTCGAGTTATGACAAAAACAAACTTTATTTTGTATTTTTCATAGGGTTTTCGTGGAATTAGACCCCTTTAACATTAAGTGAAAATGATCTGGAAGGCCTTCTTTACCTTAAGAAATTTTTTCCAGTGTAAAATTAATTAAATAAGCTTCGATTTAAGCGATTTTTACAACGCAAAATTGCCCAGTTCTTAAGCGAAATTAGGGATTCGTAGTCGGAAATCGATGCAAATCGATGCAAAGTCCAAAAAGATAGCCGAAAAAACTGTTTAAAATTGCGTGAAAAACAGTATTTTCGTTATAACTCGAGAACGACTGTAGCTACGGGGCTATAAGTCAGGATTGTTGTTATTTAGGGTCTGATACACCTCTGGTCCAAATTTTGGGCCGATTGGATGTAACACGGCGAAATGCCAGATGGTTCGTTTTTTTTGGGACACCCTGTAGGTTGGCTGTCAGTTAAACCATTTCCGACTCTAAAATCCAAAAAGCAAAACTTTGCCGCGCGCAGGATTTGAACCTGGACCCTCGGCCTGCCAGGCTAACCTCTTAGCCACTCGGCCACACCCCGAAATTTTGTCCTTTTTTCAGCGCATCCAGGTGAACGGCGTGTGGAAGAAGGTGGTCGACGAGTAGCCGGGAAAGAAGAAGAAAATGAAGACTACAAACTACAAACGACAAATTTCTCTCGCTCTCTCCTCCCCTTCTGTTCTATTCTTTTTTATGTGCAAATTCCATTTGTGTGCGTGCGTTTTTTGTGTTTGTGAACCACTCCTCCACCTCATCCTCATGCTCCTCCTCCTCCTCGACCTGGTGCTCCCCAATTAAATGGCTCCCGCTCAGAGGAATAAATTGTACTCGGTTTAATGGATTACGGCGTGAAAAATGGGTTAAAAGGCTGAGCTGATCGATTACGACATGAAAAACAATTCGAAAATTCAGAGAATCGATTACGACATGAAAAACAGCCTAAAACGCTGGATTTAATCGATTACGATACGAAAAATAGAGGGAAAAGGCTCGGTTTAATCGATTACGGCATGAAAAACAGCCTAAAACGCTCGGTTTAACCGATTACGATACGAAAAATAGAGGGAAAAGGCTCGGTTTAATCGATTACGGCATAAAAAACAGCCTAAAACGCTCGGTTTAACCGATTACGCAACAAAAACCTGGAAGTGTCACGCTCTCTTTAAGAATACAAACCGATCCAATTACACCATGAAAATGATTTACTCAATTACGCGACGAAATCCGGAAAACCCCTCTTTACTTGGTTGCTGATTAAAGAACAAAAAAATTTGCGGCGCCTGTAGATTTGTTGAAAAACACATTTTTAACCAATTCTTTTTATTAAAAGTAAAGTTTTTTAGTGTTTTTTTATAGTTTTCCGGGATTTTGTCGCTTATAAAATCGCAAAAAATAACCAGCCAAATACCGCTGAAACTTGGCATGTTTTTGAAACATCTAACGGCGATTAGGGAGGGACCGGTCGGCAGAGGTGAATTGTGAGAATTGCGAAAAACCTTACAAAAAAAACTGCAAATTAATCGGTAATCGGCTTAAAATGATCGTAATTCATTAAGCCGTCATAATTGGAGGTTGACCTTGGTGATTTTATGAAACATGAATTTTGGCAACAAAATTTTCTCGTATTGAAAATGAAAATAAAATAAAAATAATGAAATATTATAAAATATAAAATAAAATACAAAATAAGAATAAAAATAAAAATAAAATAAAAAATCAATAAAAATAAAAACCCCGACGACACTGAACAAAAAGCTCCGTGTAAAATCAGAAAATTAACAACGCAAATGGATAAGCGATTACAATGCAAAAAAAATTCCCTGCATTTGCAGATTTTTCGAAACATTTTTGACGATTTATTGCATTTTTATATTTACGTTTTTTAGAACGAAAGCATCGACCCAGACTATCCGAAGGCGAAAGCGGGGCACCCATCTTGCAGATGAAACACTTTTTGCCAAAGGATTTTTTAGTTGCCGAATTTGTGCTTTAACTGCCAACTTACATTTTTTGAAGCGCTATTACACTTTTAGAGGCAGGCTAGCAGAGAGCGTTTGGGCGGTTTTAAAGGCGGAGTAACAGGTACTGAGGGGCAGGCTAGCAGAGGCCACCAGGGACAAATGAACAAGTTTGAGAATTCGCGAATTAGTTCCGCCAAAAGGCGCAAAACCTGGAAAATTTTTGAAACATTTTTTAGCAAAATGCAAAATGCCCCGTTTTCAAGCGTTGATTTTTCGCTGAAAACGCTAAGGATTTTACGATGATTTTAAAAGAAGCGCCTAATTTAACAACGAAACATTTAACTTTTTTCCTTGAGCAAATACGCAACGAAAAAAATGGCGCATTCGATTACGCCACGAAAATCACTTATTCGTTTACGCCATGAAATTCGTGAATTTTGTGGAAAAGGAAGCAGCAAATCAAGCCTAAGCCCAAGCTAAGCCAACACTATGCTAAGTGAAGCCTAAGCACAAAGAAAAACGAGGAAGAATGATCGAATATGACCAGAAAAAACATTGCCGAAACGCACCGAAAGGCGAGGCTGTATTACGATGATTCCCAAACGCGCGACCAATTTTAACAACGAAACATCTAATTTTTTTCCTTGAGAAACACGTAGAAAAAAATTTCGTGCATTCGATTACGCCACCCAAATCACTTATTCGATTAGGCCATGAAATTCGCGAATTTTGTGGAAATTCCTTTTCCGGAAAAGGAAACTACAAATTTTTATTGGAATGGAATTTTCAGGCTTGGGATTTTTGCATAATTTTTTAATTTTAAAAATTACCTTTTTATAGTTTTTGATTTAGAGCTACACCTATTGGTGGAAAAAAATCCCCCCCCCACCGCTAACAGTCCAGAACCAACGAGACTTTATTATGTCTTTAAAATGGTAAATACGAAGAGGCAGGCAACGAAACATTCTTCGGTACACATTATTCATTGCCAAATGCGCACAATCCCAATTAGGTGTGAAACATTTCGTCTAGAAAACAACTCTAAGTTGGAAAACGGAGCAGGCTATGAGGAGGCCATTTAGCACGTTTTCGAGACGGGTTTTCAGTGAAAGAAATTACAAAAAACGATTGTATTAAATTGTATTATGAAAAAAATTACAATATAAATTGTAATCAAAAATACTGACTAATTACCACCCTCAAAAAATTGGGTCACAAATTGAGATGAAACATCTTTTTTTTTCTATTTTTTGTTATCTATTATGTATGATCTTGAAAGTATTTTTAATACATAATATTTATTAATCTTTTAAATAGTTTTTGATTGCTAGAAACTTGTCAAACACTTTTACAAATTTTGAAAATCCGAAATTTTGCCCTTTTTGGTCATTTTTCCTGCATTTTTCACCAAAAATCACAATTTTTGAAAATTTTTTATGACATTTGATGTTGCTTTTGCATTTAAAAACAATGTAAAATGCGATAAAAATGGGCCAGAAGGAAAATAGCGGCAAAACAACTACTGGTTCCAAAAATCGGGCCACACAATCCGGAGATGAAACACATTTTTTTGAGATTTTGTCTCGCAATTTTTATTTATTAATTTAATGGCTTAAATCTAACTAATTAGAAGGTTGACAGCAATCTAACTGCCCTAAGTTTTCACCGAGCTGATTTTGTAGGCTTTAAAGGGGGCGTGACAGTTAGAGAGCGGCAGGCTAGCAGTGGAAATTGCGGGAAATACTAGCCGGCCTGACCGCCTTCTAAGGCAAGCAAGCGGAGAATATTTAGGAAGCAGTTCCGAGCCAATTTTTCAGGTTTTAAAGGGAGTGTGACAGCTAGAGAGCGGCACGGTGGCAGAGAGAATTGGGGAAGCTACAGCCCGGATCACGTTGTTAGTCGAATCGCAAACGTGGATAGCCTAGTGTTTGGCCGTAACATATAAAATTTTAAAAAATTCGAAAATTTAAGGTTTTGGATAAGACGGGAGGCAGGCTGGCAGAGGTTATTTGCGTATCTAAAAGCTTGAAAAAATAACGGTAAAATATCGGAATAAGTTTAATAAGCAAAATACTACGCGTATTAAACAAGTCCCAGGACACGGGCACCTATTTTTTAGACAAAACCTTTTTTTTAGAGATTGAAAAATGACGGTGTTTTTGCAGAATCCTTGCAGTTAAGAAATATTAGATAGAAAGAGGGCAAACAAGAAATTGAATAATTTCGAACAGCCAAAACATGAATCTGGGCTGAAACATAATTCTTCTCAAAAATGCCGTCAAGGACCGACTTCTAAGGCAGGCTAGCAGCGAGCATTTGGGAAGCAATTCTAAGCCAATTTTTGGGGTTTTTAAAGGGGGCGTGACAGCTAGAAAGCGGCGGCGTAGCAGAGAAAATTGGAGATCCCAATAAAAAAAACACACCCCTCTAACTCGACGCGAAGTATCGGAGTGGAATGATAGTTTTCCATTCGAAAGCCCTTGACAACGGCCGGTTTGCAACAAGCTTCACAACCATGTTTTTATTGAAATCCGGTGAGTTACAAAACATTAAGGAACGGCCTGTGCAGCTAATTAACGGCTACTTCAGGCCATTTTGTATGGCAAATTTTCGGCAACCTGGAAAACCGAAAAATTTTACAAAATGGCTTGTAAAATAGCGCATTTAAATGAAAACATGGCTTTGAAAATTGGGGCAAACTGGCCGTTGTCAAGGGCTTTCGAATGGTGTCACTACGATTCCGCTCCGATACTTCTGCGTCGAGTTAGAGGGGGTGTTTTTTTATTGGGACACCCTGTACAGTCCGCCATATTAATCGCTTCGTAAAATTCGTAATTCGCCTTATTAATCGATTCGCAAAGCGGATAGCCTACTGTTTGGCTGAAACATTTAAAATGTTAAACAACTGGTTGCCCATTTTTAATTTAAATTTTAATTTAGGGTTTGAATTTGGATAGGACGGGAGGCAGGCTAGCAGCGTTTTTTAGGGAAAATTCGCAACCATAAGAATACGATGAATTATTTCCTGCTTCCCTCAATTATGCAGATACCAAAGCGGCGCTGCCTATTTTTGGGATGAAACGTGCTTTTTTTCTGCGCGAAAAAAGCGGGCGATGCGAATTTGACGGCAAGCTAGCGGTGATTATTTAGGAGTTTTTAAAGGGGACCGGACAGCTAAATTATGGCAGGTTAGCAGGGGGGAATTTTTAGGGAATAGCAAGTGAAAAGTCTTCTCCAAGCTCCAGTTTTGGTGGATTTTAAAGGAAGCGCGACAGCTAGGGAAAGGCAGACTGGCAGAGAGAATTAAGGAAAACTTTAAAGGCAAAACAATTGGGTAAAAAGATAAAAACGCGCTAGAGAACAAATTAATCGAATCCCAAAAACCGGCTGCCCAATTCTGGGGCGAAACATAATTTTTCAACAATTTTCTGTGCTGGAATTTAAAAGATAAACTGCGATAATTTGGGAATGCAAGAAAATCAAGGAAACAAAAAAAAAACCCGGGGTCATCAGAAAAAACTGTTGCGAAAAATAGTAAAGAAAAAGAAAGAAGATAAGAAAACGTCCATTAGATTATCAAAAACTTGGGTAGCTTTGCAGTTTTACGAAACATTTTTTTTCAAAAATTAAAAATATGGAAAT